TTGATGTAGAAGAGACATGAAGAAGAGGGGACACATGTGATGTAGAAGAGACATGAAGAAGAGGGGACACATGTTGATGTAGAAGAGACATGAAGAAGAGGGGACACATGTTGATGTAGAAGAGACATGAAGAAGAGGATATTGCATAATAGGTGAGCTTTTAATCCTCACAGATTTAACAAAAGCAGATGTGTTTTTCTGTTGTTGCTCCTCTCTCTCTCTCTTCCTCCAGATTGGTCCAGGAGGCTGCTGGGTGATGCGGGGGGGTTCCCGGTTCTGGTTCTGCTGCTGCAGGGCTCAGACTCAGAGGTCCAGTTCTACAGCTGCTCCGCCCTCTGCAACATCTCTTCTGCTCGGGAGCTCCACCGGAAGCTGCTGAGCATCGGGAGTCACTTCCTGTTGAAGTCCCTGCTGACGCTCGCCTCCTCCTCCGTGCAAAAGGTAACGTTGAGTTTCTCCTTCCTGATTACAATTGGCAAGTCTTATGTATATCTGTAAATGATATACTATCATATGTATATACAGTATATTATAAGCCTATATTCCTGCTACTGCAACATGTTTATAAATGGTGTTTTGTTGTTGTTTAGAACTCGATGCAGGCGTGCAGATGCCTTCAGACTCTCTCACAGAATGGTACATATGTTCCCATTACACTTTGCTGATGCTTTTACCATTTAAATAACAATAAGTGCATGTAACCATGAAGATGCAAACTCAAAAAGTGTCTATACTAGATGTGAGAAAATGAATATAAATACATTTTTACCACTGAAGATAGTACTTTTTAACTAAAGTAACTTTTTTAATTTCCCATAATATGTGTATTTAGCGTGGACTGTGTGTTGTTGTGTGGAGTGTTTTTCGAGCAAGGCAAGTTTATTTATAAAGCACCTTTCAACACAAGGCAATTCAAAGCGCCCTCCAAAAAAACAAAACAAGCTAATATAGAATAACACAGATATTAAATACATGGATACAAGTTACAGTGCAGTGTAAGATATGAATAGTTCAATTATAAGCAGCGTCAAAAAGAAAAGTCTTCATCCTTGATTTAAAAGTACTCAGTGTTTCAGCAGACCTGCAGGTTTCTGGGAGTTTGTTCCAGATATTTGGAGCATAATAACTGAACTCCTCCATGTTTGGTTCTGACTCTGGGGACAGAAAAGTGCACCGTACTTTAACAACAAACTCCTCCTAGGGATTTTATCCAATCGTCTTCAAATCTTGACAGTAGCATCTCAAGACCTGGCAGATGAAAAGTTAGTGGCGCCCATTTTGACTCTCGCCTGATGGCTATGTGATCCCTTTCCATGGAAGGTGATTATCTCCTAACGCCAGCTGACAGGCTCCAAACGGCCCAAACGTCACATGATGGTTAATGCTTCGGCCCCGAACAGCTCATCTCCAAATCTGAGGGGCCGAAACACGATATTGCTGTGACACCAATGGTGTCAACAGTCTTTACGTTTGGTGTCAATGATGATGAAGTCCAAGCTCTGTAACATGAATGGCATGTCCCCCAAAGAGTTTATGGAAATCAGAAACAGTCATAATTGTCTTTGATAAACTGTGTAGCCATAATAGAGGCACTCAGAGACTTAATGTCCCCTTTAAACCCACCGTATGTAATCCCACAGCCGTGACCGCATACAATAATGTACTGTATTATAAACACTTTGTAATCTAGAGCCTTGGCTATTAATCATAATATTATAATATCATATTTTCCAGTGTTCCCTAAGTGATATACTTAAGTAGAAAATAAAAGTACTTAAGTATTTCCATCTTATTCATCTTTATACTTTTCTAAATCACTTCATCTCACAGGTAAATATTTTACTTTTTACTCAGTTACGTTTTTCTTACCGCTTTAGTGACTTCTTTTAGATATACTGTACACTTTGTACTAACCCTAACCTTAACCCTATCATACCATAATTAGGTGATTTTAAATGTGAGTTTTCATTAACTTGTGTCCGTTAATGGGTTTAGAAATCTTCCTACTTCTCAAGATAAATAAACTATTTGTTAGTGAAACCCTGACAGCGAGGATTTTTTACCAAAGTTTTGCAGATAATAATTACGCATTTCTATTTAAGTGAGGTTTTAAATGTTTGTGTTGTTGAATTAAAAGCACATCACATAAGGCATATATACATTTTCAGTTTTTATTTGACTCTATTGAGGTGAGTGGCACCATGTTTCAGTCAATACAATTACATGTTCCGCTCTTCACCTACACATTCTGAGTATTACAGTCCCAGAATATTTGACCAGCTTGTATGAACACATTAAAAAATATAAACATATATAATGGAATTGAATGTGTACAGTGAGACAAATATAAAAACACAATTTTATATTTCATACCATGGGTTGTTTTATTTATGAAAGTGTTGATTAAACATACAATGAATAAATAGAAGTACTTTAGTAACAAAATGTGATACAGTAAATCATGTATACTGTATATGTTTACACAGTGAGGCACACACGTACAAAAATAGATTTGAATTTTTATTTTATTTTTAAATCAAATCTTTCTAATCCTAATTTTAATCCTAATTGTATCAGGAAAATTAGTTGCGGGCGAACCTGAGCTCCAGGAGAAAACCCAAAAGTGGAAGGGGGGTACGGTGGCCCTGAAGTGCAAGTCAAAACAACATTTCACAAAACACTTCAACATTTCACATTTTACGGAAAGGGTATTCCTTTAGGGAGAACACTTCTTGTTTGTGATTGGACAGAGCCAGCCAGAGAAGAACTGCTGTGATTGGTTGTTTTTGCTGCCAGTCAAGAAATGACGCTTCGTGATTGGTCAGCACCCGGCCGACAGCACCACGTATTTCCTGTTTGGTACTGTTCAGCTGTTTCTTCACGAATTGTAAACTGAGTTGGAAAGAATGGAAGAAGAGATGGAACGAAGGATATACATACGATGTTATCCTCGACATGCTGTCAACCCATCACGACATCTACATGTCCCTTAGAACCAGGGGTGTAGTGCTGCCGGATCGCCGCTCCGGTTGTTAGCATCTGGTTAGCTAGCTATGCCAACGTACATAAGGAGTTGTTTCTACAACAAGGTGGAGGAGAGTCCTCTCCTGTCAGACTGAGAGGATCTTATAACTACAGCTCAGTAATAATAATAATAATAATATTAATAATAATAATACATTTGATTTATATAGCACACTTTAAACATAAAAGGATCAAATAAATAAAGTCAGTGAGGTGTCCTCAGTCCTAACTCTTTAAACCGCGCTTTCAGGGTTCTAAGCAGGGGTGTAGTGCTATTTTTATAATTGCAGGAGCGCACCTAGACCAACAAAACAGCAACATATGGACATAGGTTACTATATCAAAAGTGTGCAAATGTATTTAGAATCCTGTCCATGTGACCCTTTTGTTAGTGGGTGGTGGACCTCACATCCTCTAGGGGGGTCCGGGGGCATGCTCCCCCGGGAAGATGATTTTTTAAAAGTTGAAGTTAAATTCAATCTGGTGCACTTTGAGAGCAAAGTTAGGGACTAAATCTATGGATACATCTCTCAACAACACCCATGTGAAACAGTACTGTAACCAGAAGTACTTTTTCTTTAAGCATATCTTACTAATCACTCCCCTTTTAAACTGTATTTTAGTTTTACTGTCCTATAGAATGAGTTGGAATTATTTCATACCTATTTATTCTCTTATTTTTTATAATGATAATAAAAAGGTGTGCTTTGGAAATACTTGTTTACATAAATGGTGACCAAACCGTTTGAGACCCACTGAGATAGCTTAGACTAAAGTTATCTATCTAAACACTCAGAGAGTCCTTTAGCTCACTGAGCTGTAGTTATAAGATCCTCTCAGTCTGACAGGAGAGGACTCTCCTCCACCTTGTTGTAGAAACAACTGCTTATGTACGTTAGCATAGCTAGCTAACCAGATGCTAACAACCGGTAAAGCGGTGCTCCGGCAGCTGTGACTACCTGATTTGCATCTCTGCCCGATTTGCATTGCGCAAGTGCGAGATGGTCCGCTATATTAGACAGCTACATACGGCAACCCAAATAGGACATTTGTTTCGCAAAGCAGACATTTTTCTTCCAAAAAACCCGACAACATTAATCTGAACGAGAGAGAGAGTTATTGTTATTACAACGTGACTTCACTATTATTTAACAAATACTTTTATTGGGTTGATTACATTCTTGGAATAAGTGAGAAATTGATTTATTGACAGTTATCATACTGAAGAAATATTTACTGTGAATGTATGCAAAAATGTTTGGCATTAATAATTTATATGTAATTACATTAACTATGAATGTTAACATTTTATTTCAAATTAAATACAATTACATAAAAGATTTTCCATTTAAAAAAAAAAAAAGTTGATTCAAGAACACATCTCTGTTAGATCAGTAGTTTTCTTATATTACAATTATTGCTAAATTTGAAAGGTCTTTACCAGCTTTGGAATTATATATATATATCATTGAGATTAATGTTGTCAAGTTTTTTTAGTTTTCTTTTTCTGCTTTGCCAAACGCCACTGTCAAGTGTCCTATTTGGGTTGCCGTATGTAGCTGTCCAATATGGCGGACCATCTCGCGCTTGCGCAATGCAAATCGGGCAAAGATGCAAATCAGGTAGTCACAAGCACTACACCCCTGGTTCTAAGGGACATGTAGATGTCGTGATGGGTTGACAGCATGTCGAGGAGAACATCGTATGTATATCCTTCGTTCCATCTCTTCTTCCATTCTTTCCAACTCAGTTTACAATTCGTGAAGAAACAGCTGACCAGTACCAAACAGGAAATACGTGGTGCTGTCGGCCGGGTGCTGACCAATCACGAAGCGTCATTTCTTGACTGGCAGCAAAAACATCCAATCACAGCAGTGCTTCTCTGGCTGGCTCTGTCCAATCACAAACAACAAGTGTTCTCCTTAAAGGAATACCCGTTCTGTAAAATGTGAAATGCTGTAGTGTTTTCTGAAATGTTGTTTCGACTTGCACTTCAGGAACACTGTATGCGGGGGAAGATCCAACAATACATTACATTTATATAGCGCTTTTCTTGAATTCAAAGACGCTTTGGAGGGTGGAGTGAGGTGAGGGAAATGGAGGAGGGACTTATTGTTGATGTGTTTTTTTTAATCCTTATTAATATGGATTTCTGGAAAACCTGAGCTCCAGGAGAAAACCCTATCTGAGCAAAAAGTGAAGGAGGGGGTGAGGAAGGAGGTGAGGGAAATGGAGGCAGGGAGTTACTGTTGTCCAGCTGGAGCTGAATCACCAGAAGCTTTCTCCATCTTCTCTGAGGAGGTGTTTCTCGTGCCTTTGGCTTTCTTCCTCATCTCCTTCTCTTGCATCTTGCTTATCATTTTCTGCAAGGCAACGTCTCTATCCTCAGTCTCCCCCCTTCTGTGAGAGAAGAAACCTCTGCTCTTATTCTTCATGTGAAGACAGAGGTCTTCCAGAAGTTTCTTTTCCTCCTCCATCTTTTTCTCAGTCGTTGCCCAGCTCAGTCTTCTATGAGCCAGGTCGTCCCTCTGCTCCTCCACCTGTTTCAGTTGTGTCTCCGTCAGATGAAGCTTGGTCTCCATGCTCTGGTGTTTCTGGGCCAGGTCTTTGGAGAGCTTCTTCTTCTGCTCTTCCAATTGGTTTTCCAACTGCTTGACATCCGTCTCCTTGCTTTGGACAAACTGCTCCCAGTTCAGCTGTTTTTCAGCCAGGTCTTTGGAGAACTTCTCCTCCTGCTCTCTCATCTGTTCTTTCAGCTGTTTGACGTCCGTCTCCCAGCCCAGGTTATTCTCGGCCAGGCGATCTTTCTCCTTTTCCACCTGCTTTAATTTAGCCTCCACCTGTTTGAACTCAGTCTCCAAGGTCAGGGTTACCTTGGCCATGTCGTTCTTTTCCTGAGTCACCTCATTTAGTGTTGTCTCCATCTGTTGCTTCTCAGTCTCCCAGGTGTGACTCTTATCGGCCAGGTCTTTAGAGAACTCTTCCTCTTGCCTTTTCAACTGGGCCTCCATCTGTAGGAATTCCGTCTCCAAGGTCTTGTTTCTACTGGCCTGGTAATTGTTCTTCTTCTCCACCTCTTTCAACTTCATCACCATCTCTTGCTTCTCACTCTCCCAGGTGAGAGTCTTTTCGGCCAGGCTCTTGGTGACCTTTTCCTCGCATTGAAGGAGTTGTTCCTCTCTTCTCTGCAGCAGGTTTAAAGTCACCAGGTTGGCCTCGCTGTGTTGGTCTGAGAGCTTCTGTTTCTGTGTCTCATACCATGCCACTGTGTCTTCCAGCTGCTCTTTGTGTTGAAGCTCTGCAGCTTCCATCTTCTCCTCCAGACCGCTGTTTCTATCCTCCAAGATGGTCACACACTCAAGGAGTTCTTCCCCTTTTCTTATCAGCTCTTTCATGGTCTCCCCTTTCCTCATCCTCAGTTTGATGATCTCTGGGTCACACTGCAGGGGAACATCATTGTTCTCGCTGTCAGATGTCGCCTGGTCCTTCTCGTCCGAGACATTTCCTTTCTCTGCCTCATGCCTTGCCACAATTTGGTCCAGCTGCCTCTTGTGTTGGCATTCTGCATTTTCAATATTCCCATTCAGACGTGAGATTTCTGCCTCATGCTCCATGATGGTGTCAACCAGCCTTTTGTTCTCTTTGTGGAGCCCTGAGTCCCTGTAGCTCAGGAGCTCCTCGAGACGTTTGACCTTGTCTTTTTGTTTGCGCATACTGTGGCAAAATGTCGTCCTCTCCTCCTGAAATGCCCCACGATACTCCTCCAGGCCGTTTATCTGGCCGTTTCTGCAGTGGACCTGCCTGTAAGCTCGATCCGCTTCAGCTCCATGGTCGAATGGCCTGGGGTTTCCCCTGTTGTTCTGGTGGCTTCTTCTATCCATGGCACCGTCTGTAGACTTGTGTTGTGCGTAGGTAGAATAATATATTTCTCTTTGGAAGAAGTGTTCTGTGTAGAAGTCTGCGAAGGTGGTCTGAATGCGTGTCACCACTTACAGCTCTGGAGTGAAGAGTGTGGAGTGAATGCACATCACAGCCCTTGCAGTCTTCCTTCAGACTCCTGTGACATCATCATGACATCACAGATCTCTTTGATCTCCTGTGACATCATCATGACATCACAGATCTCTTTGATCTTCTGTGACATCATCATGACATCACAGATCTCTTTGATCTTCTGTGACGGAACATTCATCAAAGCCAATGATGTCATCGCTTCAGTGTGTCAGGATGTCATAAGTGATGTCACTGAAATAGTTTGGTTTAGACTTATGGTGTTGCCATGGAAACACAAACTCGCAATAATCATTATAAAAACAGAAACAGTACAAACTAAACAAAACAATAAACAACAATAAAACCCGATGTTGTCACAAGTCAAAAGTACATAGTCCAAACGTCACATGATAGTTAACGCTCCGGCCCTGAACAGCTCTACGTCAAATCTGATCATCTCATCATATTGCCACGGAAAGACGAACTCGCCATGAAGCACGATGTCGACGTAACTCAATGGTAAATGGTCCAAACACCACCAAACTTCAGATGGCCGTTAATGTTAGAGCCCTCAACTCCTCTCTGATAACGAGGCAGCCCTCCAGACATCTGAGCCAATTGTGAGTCTTCACCGCACGCCGTAGCCGTGATGTGGCGCCCATTTGGAGGCTCGCTTGAAGGCTATGTGATGGAGCTGGACTGTGTGTTGTTGTGTGTAGATCTGATCCAGGAGCAGCTGATGGATCCGGACTGTGTGTTGTGCGTAGATCTGATCCAGGAGCAGCTGATGGAGCTGGACTGTGTGTTGTTGGATGTAGATCTGATCCAGGAGCAGCTGATGGAGCTGGACTGTGTGTTGTTGTGTGTAGATCTGATCCAGGAGCAGCTGATGGAGCTGGACTGTGTGTTGTTGTGTGTAGATCTGATCCAGGAGCAGCTGATGGAGCTGGACTGTGTGTTGCCTCTGCAGCCCCTGCTGAAGACATCCTCTGCTGAGTGGAGAGAGTCGGCCGTCACACTGCTGTCTGCGCTGACTTCACACACACCGAACAAAGTGAGGTTTCCTCCACAGCGGGATCATTATAATATTCATTGTTAAACATTAGTGGTTAGATCATGGTGTCGGAGCCAATTAACACGGTCACTATAAAGGTACGAACCTATGTTTGTGGTTAGAGGTTCCGCCGGAAGGCCATACAGTTTTTGACCACACACGGAGCGCACACACACACACACACACACACGGAGAACACACACACACACTGAGAACTCACACACACGCGGACCACACACACACATGGAATTACAAACATGGAAAAGGTATTGTATGAACCGTAATATCGTGTACGGTGAATGAGAGAAAGAAGCAAGTTAAATGGAAACCAGTGAAAGGAAATGCATGGACTGTATCGAACTGGAAACTTTGTTTCAGACTTTTATTCAGCAGCAAACTTTGTGTCAATTGCGCAACATAGCGGATCCTCAGAGGCTGAAAGCGTTGGCTTGGCCTCTACACACGCATGTGGTTACGACCATAGACTGTATATATAAATGGACATAGTGTCCGTGACGTCACCCATAGGATTCTGCAGAGTTGCCGTGAAGCCCTTAGTAGGCGGAGTCGGCCACTAACGGCTCGACAGTGACGTCAGAGTCTAATCCCGCCTTCTCCAAATAAGGGCAAAGAGGCGGAGCCGAGGCGGGACCTGCTGCCTCCGAACTGGAAGTAAACAGAGCTAGCTCAGGCTAAGAAGCTAAGCTAACATGCATACCAAGTTACTGCTAACAGTGTAGTTCCCCTATATAAACGTTACCTTCATAATCAAATGAGACAATCTGCAAGAGAATTAGCTCTATTTTGTTATTCTTAATGCTTGTCATTCACACGTTGAGAAAAGACGGACTCCACCGCCCGGACCTAACGGAGCCGCAGGGGGCTAGCTCCGGGACGCCGGCTGGAGATAGCCCCCTGCGGCTCCGTTAGCTCCAGCGGCCACCACTGGGATAATTGGGTCCCCTATAAACATTTGCTCCCGTTTAGCATTATGGGCATCATAGCCATAGACTATAAAAGTCTTACCCAAGGCTGAATCATAAACTAAAATGTATATGTATGCATAAAGTGTTACGTCCTTAGCTGGCTAATAAGTAACAAGCTAAGCTACCAAGCACACAAACACCTGTGAACGGGGTTAACATGTATAATATTATCATTTTAGACTTCTTGGAAGTTCTGTTAGTACATTCAAGCGCACAGCACAACATTTTAATTGTCTGGTATTTGTAACAATATTCCCTAAAAAGCACAATCACCACGAACACGGCTAAAGCTAAAGGGTCAAGTACAGTACTATGACTAACTAACGTTGTAGCCTCTATGGTTGTAGCCTAGCAGAGTGGACAAGTTGCTGTTAGCTGACAGTGAGGCATGTACGTGTCCATCAAAGTGACCACACCCTAATTTATGCAAACACTTTAAGAGCTAATATAAATAAAAGGGTCGTGTTAGAAAACAATTCACTCACAGATTCATAATCATGAAGGTGGAATCTAACTATATCGATAATAATATTTATTGCATCCATGGGTAGAAACATGTTTTTTTCTGCTGTAAAGTTGGGCATTTTAACATGGGGATCTATGGAAATGGCTCCTTTCTGCAGCCAGTCCCTAGTGGCCCATGTATGAACTGCAGTGTGTGGCACTTCCGTATTGGCGTCCCGGCTGTTCCCCAGAGTTTGCCGCTTGGCCTCTACACATGGATTAATAACGACACAATGGGCTTCAGACGTGAACGCCTCCTACCTAACAAGGGCCACAGATTCAAGACGTTTATATGATGTCTTTGTCGATGTTTGGCGACCCCTTGTGGCGGTTTAGTGTCTCTTGTTTGTCATATTCTGTCTTTTCTGTTGTTTCTCTCTTTTTGGTCATTCTGTCTCTTTTTAGACTTTGTCTTTTTTGGTTGTGTTAATAGACATTTTTCGCCTCTTTGTGACTTCTCGTTGTTGTGTCTCATTTCGGTGGTTCTGCATCTCTTTGCAGTCGTTTTGTTTCTCTTGGACTTTTTAAATGTTGCATATCTTTGTAGAACATCGTCCTCTTAGAATCATATTCTCTTTCGTTTGTTCTTTGATCTAGTTTTTGCATATTTTTTCGGCCATTCTGAATCTTTTTGTAGACATTTGTGTTTCCTATCATTTGTGTTGTCTTGTGCCTTGTTTCAGTCGCTGTAGTCATTCGGAGTGTCTGTTCTGCATCCAGACATGTGGTTTTCCTAATGAGTTGTGTCCCTTAGTGACTTACCAACAAGAACTGTGAGCAATAGCTTCAAGCAGAGGTCATTCCAAAGAACAAGGATATTTCTTTGCCGGACATTCCTTCCTTTTTCATGACCTTGAACTAGTAATCAGTCGATGTCCAATCAAAACCATCATTTGCTGCTCTGTTTTTATCCCAGTTTTGATAACATCTCCCTGGTTTGATTGCAGGCCGTCCTGGTGAGCGAGGGTCTGCTGGAGGAAGTGGGTCAGCTGCTTCTTCATCCCACATGCAGCTCCGTCATCATCACACACAGCTGCAGGATCATCACTGACCTGAGCAGCTGCAGCGAGGGTCAGCAGGTAAAACTCATGATTTAACGCCTGCAGTAAAAATACACAACGCGCCTGAGTATAATCCGTCTTTGTTATCCAGGCTGTGATGGAGGCTCGCTGTTTGTCAGGACTCCTCGGCGCTCTTCTGTCTCCGTCTCTGACTGATGACACTTTAATACATCTGACGTCATGCTTGCAAAACCTCATGACACAACGTGAGGGACCTGGACTCAAACTAGTATTGGTCTGTTTAGCTCTTTCTATGTGGGATCAAACCCAAAGACATCCTTTATCTGTTTTGTAATCAGCCATAATCCTTCACTTTCTTCTTCAGATCCACTTCAGTCGGAGTTGTCGGTCATGATAACATCAGAGCACGTTTCCAGACTTGTGAAGTTATCGGGACGATCACAAAACCCTCAGTTATCGTACAACAGTGCGGCCGTCATCAGCAGACTGGAAATGACAGGTAATGTTCTGTGAAAGTATGACGACCTGATAGAAGTAAACAGATTGGTTTATGAAACGGTGTCTTCATACTCTTCATCCAGGAGAGACGCTCCAGCTGCTGAAGCCTCACTACGTCGCCATGTTGGAGTACCTGTCGGTGCTTCTCCAAAATAAAGATTTAAAGTTCCAGCAGCTTGGCTTAGTGACGATATCCAACCTCAAGACAGGTTTGTATTCGTTCTACCCTCGGGCGTCACTTTGTGTTGAAGTTCTTTTGGACTCTTTTGGACTCATGTGTTTTACTGTGTTCTAATCCTGGCTCCTTCTGGATGTTTTGCACTGTAGACATTCTGCATCCTTTTCTGGTCAATTTCTCTTTCATTTTTGGTGTTTTGTTCATTGTTTTGTTCCTTTTTAGTACTTTTGCATTTCTTTTTGGTCATTTTGCATCTCCTATTAGACTTTGTGTCTTTATGGTTATATCCGGTCTCTTTTTGGTTGCTTTACGCTTTGGCAGACATTTTGCATCTCTCTTTGTTATTGTATTCCCTTTTCCTACTTCGGTCTTGTTTTGGCCTTTTTGGTAAACCGTTAAAGGTCCCAGGTCGTGGCCATTTCTACTGATCATAATTCCATTGTTGAGGTCTACTAGAATAGATTTAAACTCACATTGGTTTCTCATCCAGCGTCTCTGTAAAGTACACTGAACAAAAATATAAACGCAACACTTTTGTTTTTGCTCCCATTTCTCATGAGATGAACTCAAAGATCTAAAACATTTTCTATAAACACAAAATAACCATTTCTCTCAAATATTGTTCACAAATCTGAAGAAATCTGTGATAGTGAGCACTTCTCCTTTGCCGAGATAATCCATCCCACCTCACAGGTGTGGCATATCAAGATGCTGATTAGACAGCATGATTATTGCACAGGTGTGCCTTAGGCTGGCCACAATAGAAGGCCACTCTGAAACGTGCAGTTTTGCTTTATTGGGGGGGTCCGAAAACCAGTCAGTATCTGGTGTGAGGGGTAGGGTTAGGGTAATGTTGTGAATCGAGTGGCCCGTGGTGGTGGTGGGGTTATGGTATGGGCAGGCGTATGTTATGGACGACGAGCACAGGCCACTCGATTCACAACATTACCCTAACCCTACACCGACTCACAGCCTCGCCGCGTCCCGCCGTCTCAGGGAGGAGAAATCGGCGGAGCTGCAGCTGAGAAAAGATTGAGGGTGTGTGTGTGAGGAAGTCCGTGGATTGGTCCATTTGGACCAATCCACGGAGGGGTCGTCCTTACGTCACTTGGTTCCAGGAAGAAACAAATGGAAAAAGAGAAATGTCCAAGGAGGCGTTCTGGGGCAGCACAGACAGGTCTT